TTGAGCCTCAGGGAGGCATAGGTCAACAGAGCCCAGCCCCGAAGAGCTCCGTGCTCTTAAACACGGAACGTGTGTGCAAGTCGGGCTTGCAGGTCGTGGAGGCGACTATTAAGGGTTTCGAGACGCCATGAATGATCCTCATCGATTCTTGGGCGTCGGACAATTATGCTCGACGCTTAACGATAGAGGGTAGTAAGCTGTATGCTGAGGCGCTGAAAGCGCGGTTGGGTGACATCGTCACTGTTAGCCTAGCAACGGGGACGCGTGTCACGGTCCCGACGGTCCCTGTGGACCTCGAAGTCAAGTTCCATGACTTTAATAGCGTGGAACGCAGTCTAGTCTTAGACTTGGATGCAAGGTATGACCTCACCCTAGGAATGGCATGGTTGGAACACCATGAGCCATGGATTGATTGGAGGACCAAGACCTTGGACGCTACGCGCACGTCTCCTGTTGGACCTTTGGTGAGTCACGAACCCGCCTCTGCTAGGAGACAGAAGAGTTATTGGCAAGAGCACTGGACCGAGACGGTTAACGTGCTAGACATTGGAATGTTTAAGTTGGTAGACACCAACGGTGTATTGGACAGGAGTCACGAGCGTGGCTTGCGGGCTGATCGTGGAGTGGCATGTAGCCCACTGAGCGCTGCCGAAGTTTTGGAGCAGCCGCTGCATGTCATGCGTGACATGGTCGACCAAGAGCCGAGGCATCGAGGGCGAGGCCCCCGTGATGCACGTAAAGTGGCACGTAAACCACTGAGCACTGCTCTTGTTGCGTTCTAGTCGATGCATATCATTGATGGCGTGGTCGAACAGAGCCTGAGGCATCTTGGGTACGGCCCTTCAGATGCGCGTGAACTAAGGACCTAAATAATTTCGCTTCGATTTTTACCTTCTACTCAACAGGTTAACAGCCGCACCAAGACTCTCTCTACAAGCAACGTCCTCGCCCACTATGGCCAACAAGCAAACCGAAGTCCTCCTAACTACTACCACTGGGAGTATAACATGAGGATGACCCTGGCGCGGAAAGGTCTCCTGGGCACATCATGGCCGTCAAGGAAGAGAGTGACGTCACGGAGGACTGGTTGTTAAATGATGCTAAGGCGCTTGGCATCATCGCTCAAGGCGTTGAGATCGAGCACCAGACCAAGGTTTGGTCGGCTACGCGCGCCATGGAAGCAAAGGGAACCCTCTGTGATTTTTTCAATCGCTCGACTCCTCGCAACCGTGTGGTGATGACTCGTCGACTGCACGAGTTCAAGATGGAAAGTGGGACAAGCATGGCAGAGCATCTGGACTCTATTGATGAGCTGGCAGTGGGACTCCAGACTACGGGAGGGCCAATTGATGAGTCACGTCAACATGTTGTTCTTCTCAGCAGTCTGCCGTCAGAGTAAGACTTGATTTCGTCGATTGTGGAGAATACGAAGGACATCACGTTGATGAAACAAGAAGAAGTCCGATCCACATTGGCACTTTGCCAGCTTTTATACCTAACGTACATATCTTATGAAGAGTTCAGGTTTGACTAACAGTTGCTGCCCCATGGAAGCAAGCTCGACAACTTGAACCAGGTTCGGTTTGTTGGACCCGTTGAAATAGAAAACGAAGCGTTGGAATTGTAGAGGGTGGCTGTGATAGTATGTTTCCAATCTGAGGTGTGTGTCGATTAACTTTGCATTAGTGTCCGACTGGACATAGGATGGAAAACAGCTAAAAAGTCGCAAAAAGCCTGAATAAATTACACTGTCATCGATTTAATGTATACAGCAGCCACATTGATGCTTGGCAGCAAGGGGGCCGCTCTCATCATCCTTAGCAGGGCTTACATCGTTTGCTGCAAACGTGCTTTTTGAGCCGGCACTTTCTGCACTACGAGGGGACGCGCCCTAGTATGTAAAAGCTGTACATGCAACATCCACTTGTAATGGACCATACTTAGCGCTTACATGAAGGTGCATCTGGAAATCTTCTAAATGCATTGTGAGGATTTATATAAGAAAAATAATTACAGAATGGTGCCCCCACATGCAAATGTGACATCTTACATGAAGTCATAACCAATATATGCGAGAGAATGTCGATACCTACTTGGAATTTTGTGTTGATGACGACATCGACGTGTCTGTGTCTTTCGATGCGCGTGGCGTGCACCAGCCGAAGCATTGCTGTATTAATTAGCTTCTTCTTACCGTCGATTGGTCCCCATATGAAGATCACTTTTTCGGGATTTTCCACTAAAGCTGACGTCCAAGCTTCTCAAAGTTCAAGCTCCATACACCGAAGATCTTGTATGAGTTCGACCTGACTCAAGACACCCTTAACTATACGATCAGAAGCCCAATGTCTTATAAGTAAGACATCTGCGAGCCATTGGGTCGTTTGCGTGTAGCTCTTGGAACCGTTATCTCATTTTACTTTTGTTTCAAAAAATTGTCAAGCACTTGTTTTTTTTTCTTCAAGCCGGGACTGTCATTCTTCAATTACGTCGGAAATCGCTTTCTCGTCGCACAAGGGTGTGCGCAGTGTTTGAGGGACTGCTGTAAAGAGCGTGTCTAACATCACCGCGTTAACGAAAGAGTCTTGGTGGCCGTGGAAATTCACGCACCTGTTGTTGAAGATGATAGCCGCCTTCATCTCCGTAGGAAGGCTCGCCGCAATTACGTTCGTTGAAATGCGGTTCGAAATCCCGCGACATTTGTTGCAACGACATTTTCATAATAAAAATGTTACAATTCAGCTGCACGTAAACGGACTCGTAGCTTAGAGAGCACAAGCACGATGTGACGGGTCACACGGCACCTTGCACAGAGGAAGCTTGG